CTTGCTGCCCCTGAGGTACCACTTGGTGAACACTCATTGCGCTGAGCACCGCCAGGATGAAATCACTCAATCCTCCCGACACCCCGTGAGGCGGGTCCTATCACCTCCCTCAGTTCACAGACGAGGGGTTTGAGTCCCAGGGAGGCATGAGGTTTGCTCATTGTGGCACCAAGAGGAAAGGCGAGTGTGGAGCCCAGTCCCACGCAGGTGCCCTGTCTGCAGGTGTGCGCGTCCTGTGCAGCGGTTCTCAACCTGTGGGTCGTGACCTCTTTGGCGGTCGAACACACTTTCACAGGGGTCGCCTAAGACCATCCTGCAGATCAGATATTTACATGACGATTCGTACCAGTAGCAACATTACAGTTATGAAGGAGCAACGAAAATAATTTTATGGTTGGGTCACAACAGGAGGAACTGTATTTAAAGGGCCAGAAGGTTGAGAACCACTACTCTAGTGTGATGTTGCTGTAGCTGCTGCTGGCCACCCGCCACACTGCCTCCCTCCTCCCCACTCCCTCTAGGCTTGTGGCCTTCTCTCCCCAAACTAGCATTCGAGGCCTGTGAGCCTCCTGTTAGCGTCTTCGTCCTGCTCACTATCCTCGCACAGGCAGATCTGAGGACGCAAGGAAAAGGCAGAAAGATGAAGGAAGGGGCAATAAAAGGAGCCTTCTGCATGCGAGGGTGGGGAACCTTTTCCCTGGGTATTTATACCATCATTCATGGGCCATACAAAGTCATCGACTTCAAAATTAGCCTGTTTGATCAAACATTTAATGAACTCACCTCTAATGCCTTGGTAGGGCCAGACCCAATGATTTCACAGGACTTATCTAGCCCTTAGGCTGGGCGTTCCCCACCCCTGATAGAGGGAGAGAAGGCTCAGAAGGTGGACACTGGAGGGGGACAGAGAAGGAAGGAAGCTGGGTGAACCGAGGAAGAGGGCACAGGCAGGGCCTCCATTGTGCGGGCACAAAGGGGCCATCTGCCTGGCAGCCTACACAACGTGTGTGTGTGTGTGTGTGTGTGTGTGTGTGAGGGGAGAGGGGAAGGAGTGGCTAAGAGTCCCCCCATCACCCCCCCATTCTCAAACCCCAGGGGCCCTGCTGTCTGCTCTGGCACTGGGGGTGGGGGTTGCTGAAAAGGAGGGCAGAGAGGAGCAATTATGACAGACAGGACTGGAGGGCCAGGGCCTGCAGTAGCCAGGGATGGAAGAGGGTGCGGACAGCTGCAAGGGGTATGACCTGATGAGAAGGGGCTGGAAGAGGAAGGGAGGGGGGAGGGGCCAGAGCCCTCCTTGCCTGGTGCCCCAAACTGCCCCTGCCTCACCCCACTGGCCCTCACCCTTGCTGGGTTTTGGAGGATGTGAAATGAAGGCCCCAAGAGGGCCTGCTATTCTAGCCTTCCCTTCCTCCCTTCTCCTGGTCTGCTGGCCCCAGAGCTGTCTTTCCCCTTCTCCCTCAGCCTGGGACTTCATCTCCCTGACAGTCTCTCCCAGCGCCTGGTCCCTCTCCCTTCCCCCTCTCTCTTCCCCCTCTCACTTCCCACCTCCTTCCTCGCCCTGTCCTTCAGAGCCCAACAACAGCGAGGCCAATTGATTATCTGAAGAAATTCGGAGCTAGCAGTAGAACAGCTGCAGCTGCCACCTCTTACCACCCCCAGGCCCTCAGGGATCCCTAAGGAGGGGGCCTGTAACCCCTTCTGCTTTCCAGCCTGGCAGAGTGAAGAGTGAGGGGGGAAGGGAGCTCAGGGGACTATGGTTGCTGTGCAGGGGGAGGCACAGAGCACTCAGGGCCAGGAACGGAAGAACCAGGTTCTAGTCCCAGCCCGCCATCGTGTGTGAGTCCCATGAGCCTTGTGGATAGCAGTAACCTGCCTTTAAGACAAAGGTGTCGGGCCCTAGCCGGTTTTGCTCAGTGGATAGAGCGTCGGCCTGCAGACTCAAGGGTCCCAGGTTCGATTCCAGTCAAGGGCATGTACCTTGGTTGCGAGCACATTCCCAGTACGGGGTGTGCAGGAGGCAGCTGATCAGTGTTTCTCTCTCATCGATGTTCCCAGCTCTCTATCCCTCTCCCTTCCTCTCTGTGAAAAATCAATAAAATATATTTTTTAAAAAAAAGACAAAGGTGTCGGATGCAGTGCTGTCTGCGCTCCCTTCCCACGCTTGCCCCTGTATCCTCTGAGTCGCTCTGGCCTCCCGCTGGTCATGTTCCGGGCAGAGCACATGTCAGTCAGTCTAACTCAGATGGGGAAGGGAAGATGTCAACTCTCCTCTCGAAGTCTAACTCAGGACCTTCTTGCTGCTGATGCCATTCATCCTGAGCTGCTGATGCCATTCACAGATGAAAATGGCGCCCTTAAGAAACGGAGGACACCTTAGAATTCCCCTCCCACGGCCTGCCTTCTGCCTTCTCAGGCGATCTCACGTTTGAAAAGGATCTTGACGACCATGTAGGCAGGAATGTGCCCGGTAGTATCACTGCCTGCCCACTGGACCCCTCCTCCTTGAGACTGGTCCTTCCACGGCGGGGCAGTTTTTCTTCCAAGTGCGGCAGTCTTTCTTGCAGTAAAATCTGTCTCCTGTAACTGTCACCTACTGCTCCCGGTTCTGACCCCTGGGACCACACTGAATGTCTGCTTTTGTTTCCTTTTTGTTTGCTTGTTGGTTTTCAGTATTTGAAGATGGGTAGCATGTTGCCCCTAAATCTCCTCTTGTAAAGACACATATCCTCAGTTTTTTAACTATTCCTCCTGTGCGGTCCCCAGACCTTTAGCCTTCTTGACCACACGACTCTGAACTCTCTAGTTTATCCATGTTCCATTAAAATATGGGGTCTGTAAAGTGCCCCCTGTCATTTCAGGGAGGCAGAGGGGCCTTGGGTATAGAACAGGGGTCCTCAAACTACGGCCCACGGGCCACATGCAAATACAAATATTACATTTGTTCCCGTTTTGTTTTTTTACTTCAAAATAAGGTATGTGCAGTGTGCATAGGAATTTGTTCATAGTTTTTTTTAAACTATAGTCCGGCCCTCCAACGGTCTGAGGGACAGTGAACTGGCTGTTTAAAAAGTTTGAGGACCCCTGGTATAGAACATAGAGAACCTGGGTTTGAACTTTATCTCTGCCAACAAGTAGCTGTGTGACCTTGGGCAAAGCCCTCCTCCTCTCTGGGTGTTAGTTTCCTCAGGTAGAAGTTGGTTTCGGGCGCCTCCCAGGATTCCTCTGGTATCCTCCGTATCACTCTCTTAGTCCTAGGTCCACTGTGTTCTCCCCAGTATCCTAAGGTGGGGGGATACAACATGAGCCAAGAACTGAGATTGCAAGGAATTTTGACCCAATCTAGAGACAATACCAGGGAAGGCAGTGTTTCATGCCATGGCTTTTCCCAGGAGCGTGGACCCACAGATACATGTTGAACTTGGGTTCCATGGGGACACTCAGCTCCTTCTCAGACCCACTGGGAGCAGGAGCAGAAGCACATCAGAGAGATCGGAAAGTGTCACTCGATGAGTGCCCAACATGGGGGTCCATGAGGCTTTAGGGGGGGAGGTCTGGGACCTGTGTGTTACACCTTCCTCTGCACCTCTTTACTCTGTGACTCCTTCTTCTTCCTCTCCTCATTTGCCCACCAGACTGCGCTCTCAAGGCCCCATCAGAAGAGCTGTCAAGGCCTGCAACGCACTGTGCCCACCCTACCATAACCTGCAGGCCAACTTCCCAGCCCATTCAAATGATCCAAGCCATACCTGGTGGTAGAACGAGGTCACTTTAATTTTTCCTTTTGTATGAAATCGGAAATGCAACAGGACATAGGACACGGACCCCTAGGGCCCACTCTTGGGGGTACTAGGGAACAGGGAGGGATTGGGGGAAGGCTGGAGAGAGGAAAGAGGCCGGTAGGACAGGGTGGGGTTGTCTGGGAATGGACGGAGCTGAGGAAGAAACTGGGAGCCCTGGATCTGGGAGAGGGGCACCATCCCAGAGGACTAGGGTGACAGACAGATGGATCTGAGGAGGGATATGGGGTGTCATGAGCAAAGGGGATCCCCACACACACCTGCAGTTGCAGAAGGAGCACGAAAGGGAAAGGAATAATCAGGGAAGAAGCAAGAGAGACCTGGCCAGGGCTTCCAGGAACCTCTTCACCCACCCCAAAGTGCACAACTTGGCAATAAATAGTAATATTTATAAATAAATAAGTAAATAAATAGATAGATGAATAAATAAATACATAAATAAATATCCTTGTAGAGCTAGCAGTTTGGTGCGAGGGAGGAGCATGCTGAGTGCAGTGAGCTCCTTGCTTTTGCACAGGTCCTAGGGCCCTTGTTCTACTGCTGACCCCAGGCTCCGGTGAGCACGTGGGGCTCAGTGACAGGGGGAGTGGGGGCAGAGCGCTGGAGGTGGGGTGGGTGAGGGTCACTTCCCTTGCTGAAGGCAGTTTAAGGAAGGGGGACGGGGGATGATAAACAGGCCCTAGGACCAGGAGAGCTGAGCATTCCCAGAGGGCCATGAGGAGGCACCCTCTGCATCCCAGGGAGGACCTGACGTGGTTTGCACATTTTCGTGGTGGGCTGGGATGCAGGAAGCAGAGGTGAGCTCTGGCCCACCCATTCCCTGGGATGAGTTTGGGGACATCAGCCCCTGTCCCAGGATCCAGGCTGGCCTTTCTCTAGCTCTGCACCCAGGGAGGGAGAAAACGGGGAAGGTGGGAGTGAGAGGGGCCGAGGGGGGGGAGGGGGAGCAAATAGCTCAGAGAGGGCAAGGCACTCTACCGAGAAGACCAAGGCCAGCATCCTCAGGAACAAGATAGACAACAGGAAGGCCTCCCCCCACCCCCACCCCAATGTCAGCTACCTGGACTCCCCGCCACCGAGTTGATGTCATCTCCGCAGGCCCCTCTGCCAATCTAGACTGAGATCTCGGAGGAAGAAGCCCACCCATTCCCATTCTG